CGTGGGCACTGGGGATATTGCTGAGCTGGAGCCCTTGGGGGCCATGGGAAGCAGTATCCCTTTGATCTACAGTTAGGGGTGTGGGGCAAGTATCCCGACAGAAAATCTTAACTTACTTAATGTCCATGGAAGCAGAAAAATTTTGCCTAATATTGGCTTAAAAGGTGAGGGTGATCGCAATACCTTTGGATTTCAGCAAACACAAGCTCCTCCTGGGGAGTGTGAGTGGGAGGACCCTAAACACTTGGAACTAACCTGTACCCTTTGACTAAAGGGAGACCAAAGGCTTGTTATTTCTGTAGCCCTGGGTACGAGGTATCCCAGGTTCTTCCCCATTTAATGACAGAGTCCATTTCAGACTATCAAAAGCACGTGCTGTGTGGTAGTTAATGGTGTGGGGAAAACTATAGCAGTGAAAGAGGAGAGCCTCAGTGGGTCCCATTGTGCTGGCATCCTTGGACAAGCTTTCACTGCCCGAGTGTTGCCCACATTCTAGCTGCTGCTGTAACAGTGATCCCATGACTTCGTAAGCACTCACGACAAAACTATTCATCACAGTAAAAGGAATGGGCCTTTCCCTGCCCCCAGCATAGACCCCCAACAGAAAAGACTGTGACTGATTCCTTCATCTCAGAGTCCCTAAAATCTTTTGAATACTATATATAGAATTTTGAAAAGCTGTTGAGTAAATTATTGTGTGCATCTGCTATAAAAACAAGCTTCAAGATCTAGAATGAAATGTGTTCACAGCTATTTTAAATAATAAGCAAGAATATTTACGAATACACAAAAGAGAGCAGGAGTGGCCATGCTAGTATGAAACAGAACAGACTTTAAGGCAAAAATTGTTACTGTAGCCAAAGGAGGACATTTTTTTTTTGGCTGCATTGTGTCTTCTTTGCTGCGCGCGGGCTTTCTTTAGTTGTGGAGAGCGGGCACCACTCCTCGTTGCGGTGCATGGGCTTCTCATTGCTGTGGCTTCTCTTGTTGTGGAACACAGGCTCTAGGCACGCGGGCTTCAGTGGTTGTGGCTCGTGGGCTCCACAGCGCAAGCTCAGTAGTTGTGGCACACGGGCTTAGTTGCTCCGCAGCATGTGGGATCTTCCTGGACCAGGGCTCGAACCCATGTCCCCTGCATTGGCAGGCAGATTCTCAACCACTGCGCCACCAGGGAAGCCCAAGAAGGACATTTTATAACAATGAAAAGGTCTACTGTAAGTCTATACTTGATTTCCTTTGTTTTCTAAGCTTCTTTAGGATATAAAATAACAAAGTTTACATTACCTTTATTATAAGTTACAACAATATATTGTTGGGTTTGTAACATAAAAAATGTAACATATATAACAATAATTAAACAAAGACCACTGATCTGTTCTTTGTATCTATAAATTTGGTTTTGTTGAAAATTTTTTTAATTGAAATATAGTTGATTTGCAATATTAGTTTCAGGTGTTCAGCAAAGTGATTCAGTTATTTATATGTATTTTTTCAGATTATTTTCCATTATAGGTTATTACAAGATATTGAATATTGTTCTCTGTGTTATACAGTAAATTCTTGTTGCTTTTCTATTTTATATATAGTAATGTGCATCTGTTAACCCCATACTTCTTATTTATCTGCCCCTCCCTTTCCCCTTTGGTAACCATAATTTTGTTTTCTGTGTCTGTGAGTCTGTTTCTGTTTTGTATATAGATTCATTTGCATTATTTTTAGAGTCCACATGTAAGTGATATCATATAATGTTTGTCTTTGACTTAACTTCACTTAGTATGATATTCTCTAGGTCTATGCACATTGCTACAAATGGCAATATTTCATTCTTTTTAATGGCTGAGTAATGTTCCATTGTGTGTGTGTGCGTGTGTGTGTGTATACACACACACGCACACACCCCATATCTTATTTATCTGTTCATCTGTTGATAGACACTTAGGTTCCTTCTGTGTCTTGGTTATTGTAAATCATGCTGCTGTGAACATCAGGCTGCATGTATCTTTTCAGATTAGAGTTTTCATCTTTTCCCAATATATAACCAAGAGTGGGATTGCTGGATCATATGATAGCTCTATTTTTAGCTCTTTAAGGAACCTCCATACTGTTTTCCATAGTGGCTGCACCAATTTATATCCCTACCAACAGTGTAGGAGAGTTTCCTTTTCCCCACACCCTCTCCAGTATTTATTATTTGTATACTTTTTGATGATAGCCATTCTGACCGGTGTGAGGCGATACCTCATTGTGGTTTTGGTTTGCATTTCTCTAGTAATTAGCAATGTTGAGAATCTTTTCATGTGTCTGTTGGCCACCTTTATGTCTTCTTTGGAGAAATGTCTATTTAGATCTTCTGCACATTTTTTGATTGGGTTGTTTGTTTTTTTGATATTGAGTTGCATAAGTTGTTTGTATATTTTGGAAATTAAGCCCTTGTTGGTTGTGTCGTTTGCAAATATTTTCTCCCATTCCGTAGGTTGTCTTTTTGTTTCTTTGATGGTTTACTTTGCTGTGCAAAAGTTTTTAAGTTTGATTAGGTACCATTTGTTTATTTTTGCTTTTATTTCTTTTGCCTTGGGGGTCTGATCTAAGAAAATATTGCTACGATTTATGTCAGAGAATGTTTTGCCTATGTTCTCTTCTAGGAGTTTTATGGTGTCATGTCTTATATTTAGGTCTTTATGCCATTTTGAGTTTATGTTTGAACATGGTGTGAGGGAGTGTTTGTTTTTTTTTTTTGAGGAAGTGTTTTAATTTCATTGATTTACGTGACACTGTTCAGCTTTCCCAACACCACTTGCTGAAGAGAATGTCTTCTCCATTATATATTCTTGCCTCCTTTGTTGAAGATTAATTGACCATAGGTATATAGGTTTATTTCTGGGCTGTCTATCCTGTTCCATTGATCTGTCTGTTTTTGTGCCAGTACCATGCTGTCTTAATTACTGTAGCTTTATAGTATTGTCTGAAGTCTGGGAGGATTATGCCTCCAGCTTAGTTCTTTTTCTTCAGGATTGCTTTGACAATTCTGTGTCTTTATTTTTTTTTTCAGATTCCACATGTAAGTAAAAGACATGCTCTAAAATAGCCACAGTGTGATTTAGCACATTTGGGAAATTGAACAAGGATTCTATACTAATATTTGATCATTGTTCTGCAGTGTTCACTGCAGGGCATTCTTCAGCTCAGCTCTACTTTCTGATATGTAGGCCATCATGGGCCACATTTGTATCAGACACACTCAGAAGGACATGGGACAGGAGCCACAGCCAGTGTCAGGCCCTCTCTGTTGGAGCCTGGTAGCAGAGGCAGAGCATAGTTTAGGGGCCCAGAGGCAGAACTGCAGCAGACGGTGCCACAGCTGCCCAGCTTTACAAGCCTCATGCCCTCCAGTATAAAGTCATAGAGGCAGGCCTCCCAGGCCCTGAAAGAGCTGTTCCTATTCTCAGAGGTATTGCACTAGGGGAGCCCAACCTCCAGTCAGATGCCATTTGCCCATCAGAGGTCATTTTTACGTTAAGTGCTGTCCCCTGGCCACATGGCTGTTAGCTTTATAGTCGCATTCTCATGCAGAAAGTGAAGGGGTTTTGTTACTCAATTATCTACAACAATCCATGTTGAAGTTTTGCCAGTTGCCCCAATGCTGTCCTTTATAGCAACCTTTTTGCCCATCTAACATCATGTGTTTAGTCACATCTCTTTAGCTTCCTGTCATTTGCAACAGTACCTTAGCCTTTATCTTTCATGACCTTGCCGATTTTGAAGCGTACAGGCCAGCTGTACGCTGTGGGCCTGTGGACCATTTCACAATTTCTTCATGATTAGATTCAGGTGATGCAGTCTGGCAGGAGTACTGCTGATGTGATGTTGTGCCTTTCTCAATGCGCCCTCAGGAGGCACAGGATTTGGTTTGTCCCACTGCTGATGGTGTCAACTTTGACCACTTAGTTAAGGTGATGTCCGTCAGGGTCTTAGAGTACTATAAAGATAACTTTTTCTCTTTGTGTTTAATAAAAAAGCTGGTGGAGGTGATTCATGGAGATTACGTGGCAATCCTGTCCCTCAACAAACTTTCATTCACTTACTTTAGTTTCCATTGATGGTTCTTGCCTGAATCCGTTTTTACTGTGATGTTACCAAATGGTACTGTTTGAACTAGACCGTTCCTTCCACTCTGTCATTACTTATTGGTCTCATTTTCTTAAAAGTACTTTTTAAATACCTGTAGCTCTGCTCCTCAGAGAAGCAGCCTGGCTTCCTATGTTCATTATACCAAATTACTGCGAATTAAAACATCCAAATAGATTAGGTGTTTTAGTCTGAAGTGAAAAAATCCTGTTAGACTAGGAGCATTTTGACATACCTGAAAGACAAAAGGAGAGATGGATGTGATGAGGAGACCTGCTCCCATCTCTGCCTGCCCTGGCATGCATTGGGGCATAGAGGGTAATCCAAGAGAGTAAAAGGGAAACCACTGTGTACAATGTCCAATCATTGAGTTGAGTGTAAGGGTCTGCTTTCAACCATTTTCACATGGTTGCAGAAAGAGCCATGTCACAAAGGTTCTACATTATGAACCTGTTTAAGTAGCAAGTCACAGAACCCTGTGCTAGAAAAATTATCATATAAATGGGTTTCAGTAAATGCATGAGAGAATTGGACTTTGAAAGTCAAATCTCATTTGAAATCAACATATAAAAAGTTACTCCGAAGAATATTTGTCTCTACGTGATGTGTTGAGCCCCCCTCCCAAATAAAGTACAATTTATAAAGATTTTATTTGCTTGGGTCAGCTTGTGTTGATTGCAGAAAGTATTCTGCCACTTTTAATCGTTTCTCATGCTGCTCTTTATAGACTAAATTTTCTTTGTAGGATGAATAAAAGTATGGCATTCATTATTCTTTTCAATTTTAGTTTTATTTAAAAATTCCTCTTTTAAGTATGTAGCTTCTAAACCTCTTGGTTCGTACTTCCCTGATGTTTTTGTCTCGCTCTTTTACAGGTACCTCCTATTTAACAGACATTGTGTGGTGGGCAGGAACAATTGCAAGTAAGTACTCTTTGTGGTAAAGAGCTTGGTCTCCTTTTGTAAGATCAGTTGTTTGTCTGTCAGGGTTAGATGGAGGGGGTGGGATGAGCTTAGCTTGTTCTTTGGAATAAGGACTGGGATGGTGGGAGACAGTGGAGGGTGAATGCGGAGGATCCTGCTGCCTGCTGTTGGCCCTGAATTTTGTCCAGGTCAGACTGTCCTGGGTCTGAAGAAATTAAGCAGCTCCTGCTTCTTCATCTGTAGTTGGGCTGTGGGCATTTGGTGAGCTTGTGCCCCACACAACTGGTTTTACAAAGGAGTTTCTTCACTCAGCCTTAAGTACCAGATCAGAGGTCATGTGTTATAATATAAAAATAATAAAATTAGAGTTCAGACCTTTACATATATAAAGAAAAATTCTGTTAGATATTTCAGATATATCTTGAGGTCTTTTTGTCACACATTGTCTTTTAGGCAAGAAATTTTCTAGTAGACGTTGATTCATTGAAGAACTCATTTTTAAGCCCTATCTATCTATCATCTATCTATCTATCTATCTATCTCAGTGCAGCCCCAGGCACAGCCCTGTACAGACAGTAGGGTTTCCACTTGATGTGCCAGCAGCGTGTCACTGGAATAGATCCCAGACCACTTGAAGGGACATGGAAAGCTCTACATGGTCTATCTTAAAACAGGGATGTGTTAAGAAGAAAGTGGAAATATACTCTTGTACCCACTGTCAGTCACTGCTGGTTAGACTGGGAATTTCCATAGAGGGTTGAAACTAATTGGGCCAGTGATACTATGGGGCCTGCTCTCCTCTGCCCTCAGGACTCTTAATCATGCAAATGATGCCCCATATTTCCTTCCTCACCAGTAATGAAAAAGAAGTAGCCCTTTCAGAGCACAGTCTTGCAAAATTCAGCTCTGTGTTGAATGCTCAAAGAGATTTTTGTAATTGCAGTGATACCCTTGTGATTCTCTTGACAGTGGCTGTTGGCCAGATTGGAAACTTCCTGGCTTACACGGCGGTCCCCACAGTCCTGGTGACTCCTCTTGGCGCCCTTGGAGTGCCATTTGGGTGAGAGCTGGGATTCTGTGTTTTGGTTTTTAATGTGTAGTTTAGGTATAAGAAAACTTTTCATTTTAAATGTTTCTGTTAAAATAATAAAAGTAGAAGTGTAACTGAAGATATGTCTTCATTATTGCACTCCATATGGTTTAATTTTTATCCCTTCAGATTTAGTTGTATGAATTATTAACCCTTTCTTAGACATTTGCTTCAGTATATTTCAAATCCTTACTTATTCCTGGATACCAACATGATGTCATCACTCTCCTGGTCTTTGCTCTGGAAGACTTCCTAGAGACTGGAGTCTTCCCAGCTCCTTGGCAAGTGATTCTGAGAAATCAATAAGCAAAACTAGTCAGTTGGTGTTTTATTTGGGTCCCTAACATCCCCTGCTGGATGCTGGGCAGTCCCCTATCTCAGGAGATTATGGAGGTTGGGACAAATGACACATGGGCTCCAGTGCGTTGTGTAAAAGGATTCACGACTCACAACAGTCAATAGCAAATGTATCACCCGAGGAGAATAGCTCTGGTTTGATCTGGAGTAGAACAGGAGCAATGCGGGGCCTTGAGTTTTTATTGCAGTTACGAAGTGAGCCAGGTGGAGGTTCCCATGCTCAGTCTGGGGCTTACATGGTTTGAAATTTTAGTGCCAAGGGCCTGAGGGTGTGAGCTGTCCTTCTTCTCAGGTTACCTGGATATGGGGCAAAAGGGGAGAGAGAGGACTGGGGACACGAAAGCAGCCAGCCAGCCACCACAAATGAGGTCTTTCACTTTATTACACTTGGCTTACCTATGAAAATGATTTTATGAGACATTTATTAAATATATTAACACATATCCTCTTGTGAACCTATTTATATTATTTTACCTTTGAAGAAATCATTAATAAACAGAGATAGAATAGAAGCGAAATAGCATCCAGGTTTCTAATTCATTGGTATATTGGTATTCTGCTGTATTCCAGACAGAGCTCCAGATCCTTGCAGAGAAGTGTGTCTATGGTAGATGTATTTAATTGCGTACCTTGACGTCACTTACGCTTTAAGGTTCTGTGGCCTAAAAAGCACAAAAGCGTTTTCCACGTGTGAACCTTTGAAAATGTGTTTGTAGTACATTGTTCTAATCCAAACATATGCCTAGTATCACGTGTGGCTTAACATCACTTTGCATTTTGGATGGCCCTGAAAAGCTTAGATTACATGAGTGGGGCTCTCATTGGGGAATCACCACTTCAGCTTCTCAGAGCCCAGCCTCACTCACCGTTTCCTGAAAAATAATCAGACAAATAAACAACCCAACCATATGATCTTTGCACTTTTAATGCACACATATTAAAATACCTTGCTTCATTAATTTCCAAAGAACTGTCAATTCTTAAGGACTTTGATAATTCAAAGACTCCTCACTAGAAGTGTTCACTGCTCCAGGTCTTCAGGAGACGTTTCCCAAAGAACCGTGTGAGATGGCGTTCTGGATTAAAAGAATGCTTTCAACTCAGGATCCCAATAAGATGTTTTTGTAAAAATAAGAAAACAAATTAATTTGGAAAAAGTAAAGATATTGATATGTAGGTACATATGTATATGTATATTTAAAAGAAGTTCTTTTTTTGTTAATGGGATGAGTTTGCTAGAATTACATAGAAACAGAAATGAAAAGAATGTGGCACTGGGAAAAAAGATGTCTAATATCAGTGAAATAGAATAGAGAGTTCCCAAATAGGTCCACTTTTCACTGCAGTGGTTTAATGTATGATAAAGTAATCATCACAACAAAGTACTTTTAAAAAGGCTTTTAAAAATGTTTTATTTGGAATTAATTTCCAAATTACAGAAACATTACAAGGTTAAGAAAAATTAAAACAGCATCCATATACACCTCACTCAGATACATCGATTGTTGACTTTCTATCCCACTTGCTCCATCATTTCCTTTCTCTGTATCAGGGTTTTTCAACCTTGATACTATCACCATTTGGGGCCAGATAATTCTTTGTTTTGGGGGGGCTGACCTGTGCTTTGTAGGGTGTTTAGCAGCATCCCTGGCCTCCACCCATCAGATACTGGTAGCTCCCTCTCCCCAAAATGTCTCTGGACATAAGCAAATGTCCCCTTGTGGGGCAAATCACCTTTGTTTGAGAAGCACTTTTCTATTATGAATGTGGTGCTTGTTTTGTTTTTTGGATTTGTTTTTTGATCCATGTGACAATAGTTACATATATCATGATCCTTTACCCTTAAACACTTTGACTTGTATTTCCTAAGACGAGAGACATCCTTTCCATAACAATAGTATAATCATCAATTTTGATAAATTTAACATTATTATAATAAATGTATCTTTCTTATCTGCCTTCCCCATTCCAATTTTGTTAAGTGAGCCATTATACCATTATTCTATACCATTATCCTTATATCACCATCCTTTATACCATTATTTTTCCTTCTAGTGCAAGATGTAGTCTAGTATCTGCATTTAGTTGTCATATCTCCAGTTTAAAACAGAGTGTTTCTTTTCTTTTCTTTTTTTTAATAAATAGTTTTTGGAAAACTGGTAAACAATTTGTAGGAACATCAGTTTAAATCCTAATCATAGCACCATCAAAATGTGATCTAAGTGAATTAAGCATTATGTACAGGATGGCCATCCAAGTGTGAAATAGAAACAAATACAACATTGAATCGTTTGTTGATATTACATTCAGTGCCTGATTTGTGTAATGACATTATTTGATATGTTGAGGTGTGTTATCTCACTCAGCAGTGCAGAGTATGCTATGTAAAGCTGAAGTGAACCCAGTGTGTTAACTGGCATCTCCACTAATACCTACCTGAGTATCTGTGGCATGTAGCTACAGATAGTTTATGTCTCTGATATTCATTGAACAAACCCACATCCCCAGCACAAACCAGAGTAAGTCATATAGAGATTTTATCTGTAAAAAAGGAGAAAAAAAAGTTTAGCTATGTACCTAGAGTTTATGGTCCATGTGTAGGAAAACGTTTAATGTGTTTCAGATCTTAGAAGGTTAAGAAGTTTCAAACATTGGAAGCAATAAAAATGAAAAGGTTAATTTTCTACACTAAAAGATAAAATAAGAAGGATGTTTCTGTGTAATTCTAGCAATCTCATCCCATTAACAATGCAGGGGACACGGTTTCGAGCCCTGGTCTGGGAAGATCCCACATGCCACAGAGTAACTAAGCCTGTGCGCCACAACTACTGAGCCTGCACTCCAGAGCCCATGAGCCACAACTCCTGAAGGCTGGGTGCCTAGAGCCCATGCTTTGCAACAAGAGAAGCCACCGCAATGAGAAGCCCGTGCACCACAACGAAGAGTAGCCCCCACTCACAACTAGAGAAAGCCCGCACACAGCAACAAAGACCAACACAGCTATAAATAAATAAATTTTTTAAATGTATATATATTAAAAAAAGAATTTCTTAAATTGACCAAAATAATATGAAAACCCCAATAGATAAAATGACAAAGGGCAAAAAGTGCCACTTTATACATAGGAAAATAAATTTATTCCACTAATGTTAAACCTCATTTTCAATAAAATGCACATAAGCAAACAGATTTAATAAACACTATATGTGTGTGTGTGTGTGTGTGTGTGTATACACACACACACACACACACACACACAAAGGAAGAAGAGGAAATAGAACTATATAAGAGTAACATTATTGTATCTCACTGTAGTTAAGTTAGTATCAATTTGAAATGTATTCTCATAAGCCTTAGAGAAACCACAAGGAAAATAAAACAAGTATAGTGAAAAAAATCATTAAGGGAATTAAAATGCCACACTGTAAAGATTCACTTAATGCAGAAGAAAGCAGTGAGAAATAGGGAACAAGAAAAAGACGTGAAATATAGAAAACAAAAAGTAAGGTGGCAAACATAATCTAACTATATCAATAAAAACATTAAATGTCAGTGGATTAAACAACCCAATTAAAAGGCAAAGATTGTCAGGCAGGATGAAAAACAAGATCTAGCTATATTCTTTCTAATTCAGACATACTTTAGATTCAGAGATACAAATAGATTAAATGTAAAAGGAAGGGAAAACATATATTATGCAAATAGTAACCATAAGAAAGTTGGAGAGGCTATGTATCAGACAAAATAGACTAAAACAAAACAAAAGTTACTAGAGATGAAGAGAGACATTTTATAATGACAAAAGTGGCAGTCCGTTAGGAAGACATAACAATTATAAACAAATAGGTACCTAAAAACAGAGATCCAAAATATATAAAAGAAAACCTGACAGAATGGAGAAATAGAAAGTTCAACAATAATAGTCACAGCCTTCAGTACCCCCCTTTCAATAATGGATAGAAAAACTAGGGAAATGATCATGAAGGAAATAGAAGACTTGAATGACACTATAGCCCAGTAGATAAAATAGACATCTTTAGAACACTCCACCCAAGAACAGCAGAAGTCATCTTCTTCCCAAGTGTACGTAGAACATACTTCAGGATAGACCATGTGGTAGGCCGTTAAAATCATCAATAAAGTTGAAAGGGTTGAAATCATTCTCTGACCACAGTGGAATGAAATTAGAAAGTAAAATCAGTGAACTTGGTGAAATTCACAAATATATGGAGATTAAATAACTTACCACTAAATGATCAATGGATCTGAAAAGAAATCATGGGACTTCCCTGGTGGTCCAGTGGTTAAGAATTGGTCTTGCAATGCAGGGGACACCAGTTTGATCCGTGGTTGGGGAACTAAGATCCCACGTGCCGTGGGGCAACTAAGCCCACACGCTGCAACTAAAGAGTCCATGCGCCACAACTAGGGAGCCTGTGTGCGGCCACTACTGAGCCCGTGCACTCTGGAGCCCGTGTGCCGCAACTAATGAGCCCGCATTCTCTGGAGCCCATGCACCACAACTAGTGAGAAGCCTCCGTGTCAGAAGTAGAGAGAAGCCCACGCAACGCAACAAAGAGCCCGCGTGCTGCAACTAAGACCTGACACAGCCA